GCGGTTCGGTTCGGTTATTTGCTAAATAACCGAACGGTTGAGGAAGTTGAATAATAATTCGGGTTCGATTCGATTCGGTTAATAACCGAATAACCGCGGTTAACCGAACGATTATTGAGTTTTTTTAATATTTTAATTTTTACCCTTATTATTATTAGTATTATTTTTTTATACTCCACTTTTAGCCTTATATATTTCACCTAATAAACCATAAAATATAAAATTTTTCTCCTAATTATTAAAGTTTTTAGATTTTTTATAATTTTATTACAAGATTAATCATTTTGTGCATTTATTTGAATAGATATTTTGAATTTTATCTAGAATTAATAAAACTTTTTTCAAAATATATCATAACCGAACCGAACGGATCTAAAACCGAACCGAATAAAACGAAAAATATAACCGTTTGGTTATAATTTTATTATGCAAAAATCGAACCGAACCGAACTGAACCGAACCGATTAAATCTATATAACCGTTTGGATATGATTTTTTTATAACTTAAATAACCAAACCCGAAATAACCGAATCAAAAACCGAATCGAAACCCGAAATGGCCAATGGAGGCTAACGTTTTGGGCTCACGAAGACAAGGGTATTATAGTAATTCAATGGAATATGAATTGTTTTGTCCTTACATGACCCAAATCTCATCCCAAGAGCCCATACTTTCCCTCCCTCGCCCTCACCTCCTTCGCTTCCCCCTATAAATCCTTCGTTTCTGCCTCTTCCATTTTCCAAGAAACAAAAGACCTCTCTCTCTCTCTCTCTCTCTCTCTCTCTCTCTCTCTCTCTCCCTCTCTCCATCTCTCTCTCTCATCATTTCAAGAGAGATTTCTCAAACCCACCTTGGGATCATCGTTTACTACGACAACACCCAGTTATTTTGTTTGAGAAAAAACGATGATCTATTCAATTAAACCGGCTTCATCTTCCTTCTCCCTCGCCGCCGGCGATCTCTCGTCGATTCGGCGTTCGTCTCCGGCGAAGCTCCGGTTCTCTCCCTTACCCATTATCAGAAACTGTCAGAAACAGAGCTTCAACAACCACAATGTCTCAATCCAGAAGCCTCTCCACGTTTCCTCCGCCGAGAATCTGTCGATCTTCCCGGCGACGCAGAAGAGGGAGGTCAAGGTCGAAGCTTACGAGGCCGAGCGGTCGCGTCCGCTCGACATAAGCATCGAACTTCCAGACCAACAGGCGGCGCAGAAGCTGAAGATCGGAATCTACTTCGCGACCTGGTGGGCTTTGAACGTTGTGTTCAACATCTACAACAAGAAGGTCCTAAATGCGTTTCCCTACCCATGGCTGACATCGACGTTGTCATTGGCTTGTGGGTCTTTGATGATGTTGGGTTCTTGGGCCACTCGAGTTGCAGACGCTCCCAAGACTGATTTCGAGTTCTGGAAAACTCTTTTCCCGGTAAGGCTTGATGGGTTCGTTTGAAGGTTTCTGTGAAGTTTCCTGCAAAATATTCTGTTTCAGATGAAGATTTTGATTGGTTCACCTAATTTTCCTGGCAAAGTTTCTGTCTTTGTCTGGCTTTGTGGAATCTCTACTTGGATACTGCGACTAACCTTCTCTGTTTGGCTGCTAAGAAAATGTTGCTCAGAAAGATTCTTAGTTAGTTAAGAGCTAAGAAGACGGGAAAACAATAAATTTTCTAGATTTTTTAAGCTGAATTTTGTAAAGTTAGTGAGATTTCTTGTTAAAATGCTGAGAAAATTTGGGGCAGGAAACTGTAAGCAAACCAAAGACTCAACCCTTCTCATGAAATCTTGATTCTAAACCGTGAATTCTGACAGAAGAGTTTCGATTCAGGTTGCGGTTGCGCATACGATCGGACATGTTGCAGCAACAGTGAGCATGTCCAAAGTGGCAGTATCCTTCACCCACATCATCAAGAGTGGTGAACCTGCCTTCAGTGTTCTTGTCTCAAGGCTTTTCTTAGGCGAGACTTTCCCGTTACCTGTTTACCTCTCCCTCCTCCCCATCATTGGAGGCTGCGCTCTCTCTGCCTTCACCGAGCTTAACTTCAACATGACTGGTAAACAACAATGCTGAAGATCTTTGCTGTTTCAGAATATAAAAAAAGATTCAACCTTTTTGGTCAACGTTTGATTGGATTGTTTGATCGTTTTTGCAGGGTTTATGGGAGCGATGATATCTAACTTGGCGTTCGTGTTCAGGAACATATTCTCAAAGAAGGGGATGAGTGGGAAATCTGTCAGTGGAATGAACTACTATGCTTGCTTGTCGATGTTGTCTCTTTTGATCCTCACTCCTTTCGCCGTTGCCGTGGAAGGTCCTCAAATGTGGGCTGCTGGTTGGCAAAATGCCGTCGCCCAAATCGGACCAAACTTTGTCTGGTAATAATCTTTGATCCATTAGGATTTAAAAGGGTTTAATCAGACACTTGATTTGGTAAAAGTCAAAATCGGATATTTTCAAGAATCTTTCTGATAACTAGCAATCTATCTGATTTCACTTTTTATTTTTTAAGATACTTGACATTTGATGGTTAAAGGCCGTGCTTTTACATGAAAGTTTAAATCTTTCTGTGTGGGTGTGATTGGATTTCAGGTGGGTGGTGGCCCAAAGTGTGTTCTACCACTTGTACAACCAAGTCTCATACATGTCCCTCGACCAGATTTCTCCATTGACGTTTAGCATCGGTAACACGATGAAGCGAATCTCCGTCATCGTCTCCTCTATCATCATCTTCCACACTCCAGTTCAACCCGTCAACGCCCTTGGAGCCGCCATTGCAATTCTCGGAACTTTCCTCTACTCACAGGTAAAACCAAAAAAGAACCCTTTCTTGGTTTGTCAAAATATACTCTCCATTGGATTCCTGCTCTTGGGGACCCATGCCAACTTGTAGGCACATCCTCATGTAAAAATAAAAACCGGTTTCTTGATCTGGGTCTCGAGAAAAGTTTGAATCTTTTCCGTCATTTTGATCAAACGATATCGATCTCAACTAATAGATCGACTTCTTGATCTGGGTCTCAGAAAAAGTTTGAATCTTTTTCGTCATTTTGATAAAAACGATATCGATCTCAACTAATATTCCGGTTTTTTGATCTGGGTCTCGAGAAAAGTTTGGATCTTTTTCGTCATTTTGATCAAATCGATATCGATCTTTAACTAATAGGCCGACGATTTTTTTACTATGTTTTTGAGCAGGCAAAACAGTGAGGTGAATTTCGGGGTTCTGATCCTAATAGGAAGATGAACAAAACTACCTAACTGAGCAGCCAGTGAGTGATCAAAGAAGAGCATGGGATCTCTCATAGGATCCCTTGTTGAGAGTTTACAAGACCAATAATGGCTCTTTGCTAAATCTTGTCCTACTACGTGTATGTATATGATGACTAACTATGCTATATATGTGTTCATATTTTTCTTTTCCTTCTTTGTTCTTTTACCGTTTTGTTTTGGTGATGGTAGTGAGTAAGAGTTGTGTTTGATGCCTATGCCTATGTGTATTGTAGTTTGGTTGCTCTTGCTTACTTGTCTTATTGCCTTTGAAGAAGACTCAAATAAACAAATAGTATTTGTGATTTGTATGGACTAGTGGTTTAATCTGTAATATTTTTCTGTAATTTTATTTCTATATGTCATATTTGTGAATCAAAATTGAACCTTTAGACTAAAATAAATAGATGGGTATAATTATTTTGAAGCATTTTTATTAGATTTTAGCCTATAATCAATAATCCAAACGTTTAAAATAAGTAAATTTTTAATTTGAAAAGGAAACCATATAATCAATCTAAGGTTCATTTATGGGATGGGAGAGGGTTGATCAACCGGTCTGTCCGTACCGTACCAGACCGGTTCAGTTTCTGAATTTCGAAATTGACTAAATGTAGTATTGGGCCTGCAAATTTAGCCTGCCCGGCTTGACATTGATATATGACATTTTAATTGGGCTTAAATCAAACACAGAGAGCTTTTAAGTAACAAAAAAACATTATTAATATTAACAATTTTTTGGAAAACTCCAAAAACAAAAACAACCTTCAACTTATTAAAATTTTATTTGTCCCCAAATCTAAATAAACCTTTAATTTTTTAAAATATCAAAAAATCCTTTTAAAACCTCCATCATTCAAAAGTTAAGATAAAACATAGAAAATTTATTAAAAATATCTAAAAAACTGAAATTTTTATGAGTTTATATGTTTTCAATGTAAAATGTATATCAAAATAATAATCTAATATTATAAATAGATTTGTTAAAATAAGGATTTAAATATTGAAATAACAAATATGGTAGTTTTTTATATTTTTATAAATTTATAGATAGTTGTATATTATAAATATATAAAAGGTAATATATTTGAAAAGTAAATTATAATTTGTCTTTTAAAATATCATATATATAAATATAATTTTATAATATTATTATTTACTTTATGATTTCTTTATGATGTTCTAGTTTAAAAAATTATAATATATTTTAGATGTTTTACAAAAAATTAATATATTGTTTGGATTTTTAGATGATATAGGTTTTAAATCAATCTTTTTTAAAAAAGAAAATATAGTTTTTTGGATATTTTTTAAGAGTGGAGATTTATTTAGATTTTTAAATAATAGAAAATTTAAATGGATGAATTTAAACAGTTAAAGATCTTTGTACGTTATTTTTTCAATGATAATAGATCCGACGACTAAACCATTTCTGATAGTAAATTGATCTCAATATTAAAATTTAATTTAATAAAAGGGAACAAATCAAATTAAAATAAGATTTATATATTAAGAGAATATAGATTTTTTTGGGGAAAAGTTATATGTATTTAAACTGGTTATCCTAATTTTTATTGTTAATTATAAGCGTATTCAGTCCCCATCTCACGATCAGATAAGACATTGTTATTCAATCCATAAAGTTATTTTCACACCTACTCCCTAAGAAAAATAATGGGGTCCCTATATATATATATATATATATATATAAAAGAGACGACCGTAGTATATTTTAATTCATGGACCTATATATCGCAATCTAGGATTTGGTAGCAGAGCAATGAAAATGTACAAGTTGTTTGGTTTCACCACACATTTGGTACGTTTTTCAAATGAAAATAACAATGAATATGCGAATCTTTAGAGAGAGAAAGAAAATGCAAAATTGCTTAAATATACGGATATATAATCTACGGAAGTCACCTACCAATCCAATGGGTTGCCATAAATAATTTTTGCTTTATAATTAATAGAAAGAAACGTCCCAATTGGTTTTAATTTTATTTATTTTCTCCCACGAAAATCTCTCGATTTTAATTATTCAAGAAAGTTTGTAACTTGGTGGACAAAAAATCGTGTATTATTATATGTACAAACGTCCAAATTTTAGAATTTATTTTAATATCCGAATATTATATATTTTAGTTTCTATTTTCCAAAAGTTACGAAAATTGTTGAAATCAAATCTAATATTAAATAATAATCTTAATCATGATCTTAATCATCATCGTGACGAAATTTGGTTGGTGGATCTATTATTGTCACGTGTGTTAGTACGTATATCATATGTATAATAACGACCACGATTGTCTTTCATAAAAATATGTTTCTTCATTCAATATTCTTATGTAAAGATTATAATAAGTAAGTGGTATTGGTTTTTAATCATACTTTTTTAAAAAATGATTAGAATACTTTATCAAATTAAATGATGTAAATGTAATAATTTTGGTAAGGGCCTAGCAAACTAATAACTTTATCAAACATGCTAAAAAATCAATTTTATAACATTTATATTTTTCCATCCATTTTTTTTTTCACGAATTTTCCCATGCAGTTTTAGCACCCAAACTTTTTTTTTCTAAAATGTTATTGTTCAAGTTCAAGCTGTTTCCATTCTCTTTTTTTTTTGCACGTTTTTTTTTTCTGGTCGTTTACAATTTTTTATCGGAAAAGAAATTATTTAAATAGTTGGAAAACCAACTAAATATGAATAAAATAAAAAGCTCAAATAATTGAAATCGCAATGATGTGAACGTTGCTCCCACCAACGTGACTGTCCATGTACGTACATTATCAAAACATCTCATTATCTACTCTTCTTTCTCCATCCATCCTCTCTCTCTCTCTCTCTAACATACATTATATGTATCGATATATACATATATATATATATATATATATGTATATATAAGTTTTAAGATTTGAGAGAAAGCTTGGAGAGAGCAAGAATGGCAAATTTGGGTATACTCAAAATCATGGTTTTATTATTAGAAATGATATCTTTTCCTTTTTCGCTTTCTGTCCACAAAAACTCTGCGAATTCAACTCTGTTTCCTTCCGGTTTTCTCTTCGGCACCGCCTCCTCTGCCTACCAGGTTCTTTTATTTACTTTTATATACATATATATATATATATATTATGTATATTTGTTTATATTTCTTATAAATTATTTTAATGTTTTATTGTATGATATTGATGTTTTATAGTATGAAGGTGCGTACTTGACAGAGGGAAAAGGATTGAACAATTGGGATGTTTTTACTCATCATCAACCAGGTTTGTTTTTTGGGTTTCACTGTTGTCGTTTTCACAAGTTTGAGATAGTCGTTCCAAATCTTGAATTATCGTGTTATCTTCATGATTCATTGGGTTGGGTGGTCGTTTCGGAATTCGGTTCGAGAATAGTTCGATTCGCTTCTTTCGATTTTATAAAACTGTATAGCAATAAGATTCGGTTCTGTTCCAATTTTTATTATAAAAAAATAGATCTTCTTAAAAAATCACTACAAAAAAACACGGAAATGGTGACGCAAATTTTGCGTCATCATCGGGCGATTTTGCGTCACCCTTTTTAAAGGGTGACGAAATAGTGACGCAAAAAAAGCGTCACCAAAAGCACTGTCACCATTTGCGATTTCGTCACCAAGCGTCACCAATTGGTGACGTTGGGGTGACGCAACGGTGATGAATTTGCGTAACTAAATAGTGACGCAATTTCGTCACTAATCAGTGACGCTTTTTTGTGACGAAAATACGTCATAAATTAGTGACGATATTGCGTGAACAACTGCGTTACTATTTTGTGACGCAGTGACGCAAGTCGTCACCAAATTAGTGACGCAATTGCGTCACTAATTTGCGTCACTATATAAAAAATAAAATAAAAAATAAAAAAATAAAAAAAATATATTATTATATTTAAATATATAATTAAAGTTCTAAATAATTAATTTACAAAACCAAAAAAAATATAAAATATTTAATTTTGATTTTCCCCATCGTAATTGGCTTTATCGCCGTCGCCACTGCCACCGCTTCCTTGTCCGCTGCTTCCGAAACTCGGAAATCCTCGCGTTTGGAACTCATTGAAAAATTATGCTTGCACTCGCAGTTCTTCAATAAGTTTTCGATCTTCTTCTTGTCGACGCAAGAATTCCGCTTGTTGCCGGAGGAATTCAGCTTGCTGCACGATATTGCGTGAAACGTCTCACCATGATAAACTCAGACGTAATAGTTAGAGACAAAACCTTTTTTCCATAGATGTCTCATCACAACTTCTGGAACTTCTTCCCTCTCGTTTTTATATATTCGGCACGGACAATATATCTTTCCCCTCTGAAGAAAAATATGTTGATCTGTTACAAATTCCAAAAAGTTAGTCAATTTTTCTTCGTAATGCGTAGATACATTATCCGTAGAAGGATTTACTCTTTCGTACATCCATTTTCTTGAATAATAAATATTGTTATTACTCGATTCCATTTTTTGAGTTTTTTTTCCGGGTGCAAGAGTGTATGAGGGTGGTGTGTGGATTAAAGGAAATAGAGTGACGCAATTTCGTCACTAAAATAAATATGGTGACGCAATTGCGTCACTAAAGAAAAAATTTAGTGACGCAATTTCGTCACCAAATTTTTGTGACGCAATTGCGTCACTAAAAAAAAAATTTAGTGACGCAATTTCGTCACCAAATTTTTGTGACGTAATTGCGTCAGTATAAAGTAATGACGCAATTGCGTCACCAAATAGTGACGAAAGGATGACGAACGGGTGACGATATTTCCGCGCGTTATTTGACGACGCAATTTTGCGTCATCACTGCGTCACCAATGGTGACGCTAGCGTTTTCGTTACAAAAGTGCCACTATTTAGTGGCGCTCTGATGACGCATTTTTTGCGTCACTTTTTGCGTCACAAAATCGTCACTTCTGCATCACCTTTTTAGTGACGCAAAATTTGCGTCACCCTTTTCGTGTTTTCTTGTAGTGAATATTTGGTTTTTTCGGATTTTTTAAATTCGTTAGATTCAGTTCGATTTTGAGGAATTTGATTTTCTAAAAATAATAATGTTATGATATTTTGAACGGTTTGGATAAAAAAATATCGCATTTTCGGTTCAATACAGTTCGGCTTCGAGAAATCATAACGAAATGCACATCTTTATGATTCATGATAAGTGTCATTTTGATGAGATTCTTACTACAAGGAAAAAAGGGTTAAATGTGTAAAATGTTTTTGGATATTGTAGTACTAGTACTTATGAATTAGATAATAATGATGGTAAAATTACTTTAATTAAATTTAAGATCTCAATAATTTGTAATATTTTACTGTAAATTCAGATACGACAATTGACGTGGGATTAAATAAGTATAAAATTTTGATTCCAAAGATTGAAAAAAGTGAAATGTGTAATATATGTTTGGATATTGAAATACTTATGAATAAGTTAATATTGATGGTAAGATAAGATCATAAGTAAATTTGGAGTTTTTTTTTTTAAAATATACTTTTTGCAGGAAAAATACTTGATGGAAGCAATGGAGACATAGCCGTGGATCAGTACCACAGATTCTTGGTTCATTGTTTTTCTTTAATATTTTTACTGTGTTTTTATTGTAATGAAAATTAATTTGGTAATTACATAAAAAAAAGTTAATTTGGTTAGAAATCAATATTTATTTGTTTATTTTCAATATTTTTCCAATATAAACGCAGGAAGACATCGAATTAATGGCTTCACTTGGAGTCAATAGCTACAGATTTTCAATTTCATGGGCCAGGATCTTACCTAGTATGTCCATATTATTTTCTTATAATATATATTCACGTCGGAAATAAAATCAAATAAAGAGTTATTGGTATATACACCCTAATTTAACATGTTTTTAATCGAGTTTAACATGACATGCGACAGTGATATTGTCTAATTATCGTTTATTATTATTTTTTTATAAACATTGTCTAACACATTTTATATATATATGGGTCACAGAAGGGAGATTTGGAGGTATTAATTATTCAGGAATAAAATACTACAACAGATTAATTGACGCTCTCCTAAGTAAAGGTATGATTTCAGATTATTATTTATTTTTTTCATTTTATTCATCATTTACATCAAAACAGTTTTTTTTCTTCGACAAATAAATTATAAATCATATATATATATATATATATATATATTTTGGTTAATTAAATATTATGTATGCAAAAGGGATCCAGCCTTTTGTGACACTGAACCATTTGGACTATCCTCAAGAACTCGAAGACCGATACCAAAGCTGGTTAAGCCCCGAGATTCGGTACGTATAATATATTTTCTTAACCCTAACAAATTTTATATCGAAAAATTGCGAGATTTTTTATTTTTAAATTTTGATTTTGTTGGCAGAGAAGATTTCGGGTACCTGGCCGACACATGCTTCAGATATTTCGGACACAGAGTCAAACATTGGATAACGGTAAACGAACCGAACCAACAGATCGTATTGAGTTATCGCAAGGGAATTTTCCCGCCGTGTCGGTGCTCTTCACCGTACGGGAACTGCGGCAAAGGAAACTCCGAGACCGAGCCTTTTACAGCCGCCCACAATATGATCCTAGCACATGCGGAGGCTGTCCGTATATACCGAACGAAATATCAGGTGTGTGGATATATACATATATATATCGTTATCATATGATGATAACACGTGAAAAATGTGGGAAATTTTATTCGAATTCGATGCCATTTTTTGTTTGTAGAAAGAACAGAGTGGAAGCATTGGCATCGTGGTGCAGACGTCGTGGTTCGAACCCATCAGCGAGTCCACCGCTGATAAACTAGCCGCTGAACGAGCTCAGTCTTTCTACTCGAATTGGTACGTTGAATCATATTGATGTAAAACGGGTCGGTCCAAATTGGTTTTGAGTTCAAGTCTACCGTCCGTTTTTTATGAATAATTTTTTTTTTTGATTCGATGTAGATCACTTTAGTTTGTAAATCGACTCACGAACCAAATAAAAAAACAAAAAGAAAATATTAAATATAATAAAATTTTAAAAATAATACAAATTATTTAAAAAACAACAGAAAATATATAAAAATAAAAAATATTTAAAAAAATCAAATTTTTTTTTTAAAAAATTGTCTTATCAATTGGCTTGTGTGCTTGCAAAGTTGGTTCAAGACGAACTGACTCGTTTGATTTATTTTTTTGAGTTCGATTTTTCCGAATTCAATTCGAAAAATATGGATGAACTCACGAGTTAAACTCATTTTGATATTACTATTGAACCATACATTACATCATATTATATATATATATATATATATATATATATATATATATCCTATTTTTATGTCTTGTTTCAATAGGATTCTGGATCCTGCTATATACGGAAAGTATCCGGATGAGATGGTTGAACTTCTCGGACCGGCATTACCCGAATTCTCGGTCGATCAAGCCAAGGATCTAAAGAAATTGGGAGTAGATTTCGTGGGTATTAATCATTACACAAGTTACTTTGTCAAAGACTGCTACTTCTCTTCCTGTCAACGTGGAGATGGATCCTCTCGAACCGAAGGGTTTGCCCTAAAATTCGATCGGAAAGGCAACGTATCCATTGGAGAATTGGTACGCAAAAGATTATACGTTCGATTTACATATCCGAATCATATATATATATATATATATATAACGTAAAGCATATGTTTCCGGACATGATAGACAGATGTAGATTGGCAACATGTTTATCCACGAGGGTTTCGCAAGGTTTTGGACTACATCAAAAATCGATATCACAATACACCGATCTTCGTAACAGAAAATGGTAAAAGAATATATATATAGATATTGATTTTTCAATCGTTTTTACGAATTTTCATCCGTAATAATGTATTAAATTAATAAAGGTTATGGAGATTTGGAGAAACAAGATACAACGGTTGAAGAACTTGTAAATGATATAAAACGAAGAGAATACATGAGAGGCCATTTGAATGCCCTGCAAGCTGCAATGAGGTATATATAATTTCATATAAAAAAATATCGTTATATATATATATATATGCGATTTAAATAATATTATTATTTTTGTGTTTTTTTTATTTGATGAAATGTTAGGAACGGAGCGAATGTGAAGGGATATTTCGCGTGGTCGTTATTAGACAACTACGAATGGTTATACGGATACAGACTCCGGTTCGGACTATTCCACGTGGATTTTACCACTCTCAACCGTACCCCAAAACTTTCAGCTTCGTGGTACAAATATTTTATCAATTACCATACCAATACAAGTTCTCGTGGCAATGGACATATGTAACCCTAATATATATATATATCTACTTTATTTGAGATGTTATTCGTGCTTTGTGAACATATTAACTATAAATTAATTACCGCAATCTAGAAGGTGATTGGAAATTGAACATATTTGACTTTGAATTTGACCAATTTATTGACACGCGATTCTCCTAATAATCGATTAAATGAACGGTATAGCTTTTCTTGTTTTATTATATTTGTTCAGAATTTCACAAGAAAAAATGTTTTTTTAAATTTAATAGATATAGTATATTGGAATCCAAATTTTTAATTTTTTGTAAAGGTTAATCGATTCCACAAATTTCACCACTTGTGTTCTGCTCAGATCCGGTTTAGGGGAATTTTTCTGAACCGGAATGGACCGTACCGAAAGGAGCATTTCCGAAAACGACGCCGTCTAAACTTACACTTTTCGTACAAATCTGAAATGTCCGGCGGATCAAGAAAACTGAAGAAATCACTCTTCGATGCAGACAAAAGAGTTCTCTTCTTCTCGCAATTCTTCTCTGATCACTATCGCCATTGATCGAATTCCATTTTCTATGAGTTCCTAAACCTTGTTCTCCAACTCTTGATCCTCCGTTTTCTGATCTACGGTCATTTCCGTGGTCGGAGGATCGCCGGCGGCGGCGGCGGTGGCGGTGTGCAGCGTTCGGAGATCCTCGCGATGTCGTGGGGATTAGGATGGAAGCGATCGTCCGAGAATTTCCGGTTGAGTCTCAGCTACGGCGCGGAGGACCTGGGCGATGATCTCAACCGATCGACGTCGGCATCGTCGTTGGGATCCTATTCTTCGTCGTCGTCGTCTTCGGCGTCGGCGATTCAGGATCCGGAATTAGGTTTTCGGATTGATTTGGATTGGACAGCGGGGGATGCGGAGGATCAGGTGGCACTGAGACTGCAGTCGCAGTTGATGGTGGCGTTGCCGGTGCCGCAGGACGCGGTGGTGGTTGAATTGAAGGAAGAGGTTGGTGACGGAGGAGAAGAAGATGATGGTGGAGAGAATGTGAGTGTAGAAATGAGAGTTGAGAAGCGTAGGGAGCCTTTACGGGCTGTCGCGTTGATGAAAGCGGCGGGATCCGGTCAACAAAGCGACGGCGTCGGCGTCTTGACGAGACTGATGAGGTCTGATTTGACACCAGCGGCGGTTCCTTCGCAGGTAGTCGACGGCGTATCGACTTGTGGCGAGCACTGGAAGTCTGTCACATCGCTTAGCCTAAGCGGTTGCGGTTTATTGGTGGGTTTCTGTTGGACTTTATAGTAAAGTGGTGAAAGAAATGAACTTTGAATAAGACATGCCGATATCTTGATTTTGGCTACCCAATTTTCTCGTAAGAGTGGGTTTTGTGGATGCAGTTTTGCTAATTATTCCAAGAAAAAGCTAGTTTTTGTCAAAAGTTAAAAGCTTTTGAACCTAGATAATGCTTTTGAGCTTGAGTTAGGCTGTTTTGTTTTAGTCTAGGCTAAAGCAAATGGAACAAGTCTTATGATGGCTGCGAATTGCATCTTTTGTGGCCAGGTTATGCCAGTTGAACTGATCCGGTTGCCTCTTCTCGAGAAGCTATACCTTGATAACAACAAGTTACCAGTCTTGCCACCGGAGCTTGGTCAGCTGAAGAACCTTAAAGTTCTCAGAGTCGATAATAATATGCTTGTTTCTGTTCCTGGTGAGTTGGGTTCTGCACTGGTTTGTCTTGTTCATTGACACAATGGAACATTAATATGCTTGGTTGTACCAATAAGTCAGGAAGTTTCGTGGGACCTGCTGGTTGATTTGATGTTTGGTTGAAACTTTGCACAGTGGAACTACGGCAGTGTTCAGGTCTTGAGGAATTGTCCTTGGAGCACAATAAACTCATCCGGCCCCTTCTCGATTTCAGGTCGTTATGGCAGTTGTTTAACATAATTGTTTAGTTCATTTTGTCTGGATTTAGTCATTTGTCGGGAGGTTAATTTGTCTATTCAGTTGAATTGCAGAGCTATGGCTGAGCTAAGGACACTTAGACTTTTTGGTAATCCTCTCGAATTCCTACCGGAAATTTTACCTTTGCATCAGCTTCGCCACTTGTCTCTTGTGAATATCAGGATTGTGGCAGACGAGAACCTAAGATCCGTAAATGTACAAATAGAGGTAAGGAGCAAATTATTCATGATCTTTGTCTTCTTTGTTTGCCGATAATCAAGCTTCTCTAATCAAGAAGCGGTTTTGATGATTGCAGACAGAAAATAGCTCCTACTTTGGGGCATCTAGGCACAAATTAAGCGCATTCTCTCCCCTTGTATTCCGTTCTTCGTCTTGCCATCATCCCCTGCTAGCATCTGCATTGGTGAAGATCATGCAAGATGAAGGCAATCGTGCTGTCATTGGTAAAGATGAAAATGCGGTGCGTCAGCTCATAAGTATGATAACTAGTGACAATCGCCATGTGGTATGTTAGTTAGCCTTTCTGCGATGGTTAGAAAATGAATCTCACTTTATTTTGTGAACCATCACCTTACCAATTTGCTTTTATAGGTTGAACAAGCATGTGTATCTTTATCCTCTCTTGCACGAGATGTTGGTGTAGCAATGCAGCTGATGAAGTGCGATATAATGAAGCCGATTGAAACAGTATTGAAATCGTCTGCCCCAGAAGAAGTGATATCCGTGTTACAAGTTGTGGTCACTTTAGCTTTTGTGTCTGATTCCGCCGCTCAGAAGATGCTTACCAAGGACATGCTAAAAGCTTTGAAATCCTTGTGTGCCCACAAAAATCCAGAGGTAAGATATATGCATGTTCTTCTTCTTCTTTTACGAAAACTTATGTAGTATCTTTGGCTGAATTGCAATTTTTCTATTTTAGGTTCAAAGGCAAGCCTTGTTAGCCGTTGGGAACTTGGCCTTCTGTTTGGAGAATCGTCGTATTCTGGTTACTTCAGAAAGTTTGCGAGAATTACTGATGCGATTGACTGTCACACCAGAACCACGAGTCAACAAAGCTGCAGCTCGCGCTTTGGCAATTCTTGGTGTGTTTCTTGCCCATAATATGTATGTTTTTGCTTGATTAGGTGGTTAGGCATTATATATTATATGTTTCTTCTACCGACAGGAGAAAATGAAATTCTGCGACGTGCCATAAGGGGCAGACAAGTGCCAAAGCAAGGACTGAGAATACTCTCCATGGATGGGGGTGGAATGAAAGGTCTTGCAACGGTGCAGATTCTTAAAGAAATTGAGAAGGGAACTGGCAAGCGGATACATGAGTTGTTTGACCTTATATGCGGCACATCAACTGGTGGAATGCTTGCTATTGCCCTCGGTGTCAAGCTTATGACGTTGGAACAATGTGAAGAAATCTACAAAAATCTAGGTGAGTAAAAACTCTTTTGAATTCCTGAAATTCATCGAACTATAAGTTCGGGAATTTATTTTAGGTGATTTTTCTTTAGGAAAGCTTGTTTTTGCTGAGCCTGTCCCAAAGGACAATGAAGCAGCTAGTTGGAGAGAAAAACTGGATCAGCTTTATAAGAGCTCATCCCAGAGTTTCAGAGTTGTCGTACATGGATCCAAGGTATCTATATGGTGGTTACCTCACTCTATGCAAAATCATTGTCTTCTTGATGATATCCTTTCAACCTTTGCATTGAAACCGGACAACATATGATTTGTCTTAAAAAAACTGAGATTCTTGCTTAGGTTCCTATATGACTTCGGGTTAGGGTGCTATAATATCCTGTCTTGCAGCATAGTGCAGATGAGTTCGAGAGGTTGTTAAAGGAAATGTGTGCTGATGAGGATGGAGACCTGTTAATAGAGTCAGCTGTAAAGAATGTTCCGAAAGTCTTTGTTGTATCTACTCTTGTTAGTGTGATGCCGGCTCAGCCTTTTATATTCCGGAACTACCAGGTTCATATACTTCGGTTTTGTTCTTTGTACTGCACTGTTCTTTTTTTTTTTGAATTTCTTCTGTCTGCTTTTTCAACTAATGTGTGTTGTCTCTTTTTTTTCGACGTGCAGTATTCTGTTGGAACACCCGAAATGTCGTTTGCATTTTCAGATCATTCTGGAAGCAGTACATTGACTTCATCAGCAGCTACCGATCAAGTTGGCTACAAGCAAAGTGCCTTTATGGGAAGTTGTAAGCATCAGATATGGCAAGCTATACGGGCTTCATCAGCTGCTCCATATTATCTTGATGACTTTTCAGTTGGTAAAAAAGTCGATCCATTTATTTTTATCCATTTCTATTGCTCACACTAGGTATCTTTTTATATCGATACCACTTACAATCTATGTTTCTATACATGCTATTTCCACTGCAAAATTACTTCAGATGCTTACCGCTGGCAAGATGGCGCAATAGTGGCAAACAATCCTACAGTGTTTGCCATCAGAGAAGCACAACTCCTGTGGCCTGACACAAAAATTGACTGTTTGGTTTCCATTGGCTGTGGCTCGGTGCCAACAAGGGTAAATGCTCATTCTTTTCTCTGGGTACTGTAGCAGTGAAAAGGTTTGTTAATCCTGAGGAAGGATAGCATTAGATGAATAGAAAGCTTAATATCCTTGTAGTATGTAAGAATTTTCTATGTTCTGTTGACTCCCCTCAATAGGTACGGAAAGGTGGATGGCGTTATCTGGATACTGGGCAGGTTCTGATTGAGAGTGCATGCTCTGTGGAACGTGTCGAAGAAGCTCTAAGCACTTTGCTTCCTATGTTACCAGAGATCCAGTATTTCCGCTTCAATCCAGGCACATTCATTATCCATACAAAAAATATCACTTAAGAGCGGTATTTGGTCTCGGGTCTTGTTAATTCGATATTCTGTGTTACCTATGCAGTCGATGAGCGTTGTGGAATGGAGTTAGATGAGACCGATCCAGCGATATGGCGTAAGTTGGAAGATGCAGTCGATGAATACATACATAGCAATTCCCAAGTTTTAAAAGATGCTTGTGAGAGATTGGTTCTACCATTCCTAAACGATGAGAAATGGTCTGAGAATTTGAAGCCGAGATTCATGAATGGAAAGCTAGCAAACAGTTCAGGTAATACCCATTTCGTGATTGTGATTTGCTTTTTTTAGAGGATCGATCTTCTTGAATTGTTCACTTACGAAACTTCTATTTGTGTTTTCCGTTTTCCTGTCTCCTATACACAGATGAGAGCAGCCCTTCTCTAGGCTGGAGACGCAATGTTTTGCTCGTGGAGGCAGAGCATAGTCCCGACTCCGGAAGGTTAAAGCACCATGCTCGTGCCCTCGAGTTATTTTGTTCGAACAATGGAATAAAGTTATCGTCAGTTCATGCTACTACTACTTCTTCCGGAGCCCAGAAGCCATCCCCTGGAACTGCTTTTCCAACGCCATTTACCTCTCCTCTGATAGCTGGAAGCTTCCCATCGAGCCCCCTACTCTTCAGTCCTGATATTGGCCCGCAGAGGTTTAGCCGGATCGACATGGTCCCTCCGCTTAGCTTGGACGGGTGGCATGCCGGAAAGACGAACTTATCGCCACCTTCGTCTCCTCCGGCCCAGAGGCAGCTCTTTCTTCCGTTACGACAATTGCATGAGAAGTTACAGAATCTTCCCCAGGTGGGGATCATACACCTAGCCCTTCAAAATGATTCCAATGGTTCAATATTGAGGTTAGCCCCCCGAAATCTTTTCCATACATTGTCATCGATACTAATTCTCGACTGGATTTGATTCGTTTTTTGTTCATTGTAGTTGGCAAAATGATGTGTTTGTGGTCACCGAGCCTGGGGAGCTTGCAGATAAGTTTCTTCAGAGCGTTAAAATCAGTACTCTGTCAGTGATGCAAAGCCATCGCAGAAATGCTGCATCGATTCTTTCCGGTATATGCACGATCTCAGATCTGGTTCATACCAAGAAATACTTCCAGGTTGGGAATATCGTCCACCGTTACATGGGACGCCAAACACAAGTCAGGATTCTTCTCTTCTCCTTTCCAACTTCTAATATCAATGTTGATCTTCTGTGTAAAAAAATCGTCCTAACATTCTGTCATTAATATCAAAAGGTAATGGAAGATGATCAGGAGATTTCGGCTTACATGTTCCGCAGAACCGTCCCTTCCATGCACCTTACACCCGACGATATACGCTGGATGGTAAGTGTATACACATTAGAATCGATGGAAACTGGATATATATTGTCGCAAAGTCTGAAACTTGAGAGGAAAATGTTGGAAACAGATAGGAGCATGGAGGGAGAGGATAATACTTTACTCAGGAACGTATGGACCGACCCCAGCTCTAGTGAAAGCATTCTTGGACTCTGGTGCGAAAGCTGTGGTGGGGCCTTCAGCCGAGCCGCAAGAGACACCGATGATCGATGAAAACGGGCGGTTCGAGATCGGAGAAGAGGAAGAAGAAGACGAGGAAGAAGGGGATGAAGGGGAAGGGGAGGAAGGGGGAGAGGAAGAGTATGGGCCGCCCTCCCCGACGAGTGACTGGGAAGACAGCGATGTCGAGAAGAGGAGGATGATGAAGGGAAACGAGGAGGAGGAAGAGGAGGAGGAGCTATCGGGGTTCATATGCAAGTTATATGACATGTTGGTGAGGGAGAATGCTAGAGTGGATGTTGCTCTTCACAAAGCTCTTGCTTCTCATAAGAAACTCAAGTACTCTTGCCATCTTCCTTGTGTATAGGTCACTCACCTCTATCCTTACAACTTTATATATATATATATATATATATTTATACATATAGAGAGAGAGATAGAAAGAGATAAGAGAGAGAATGGGACAAAGGAAAAATTAAGGGAAGAAAGTTTTGTTCATTTTGCGAATTATTAGAATCTTCAGGTAATGAGAACAGAACATGCATTTTTTTTTGTTCAATTCAAATAACACATTTTTACCTGAATAATATAAATTCTGCTTTTCCGTATATTTATATATACGTTTTCAGATTTTTCTTAATTCATTCTGGACAGGAATACGAGAGAAGTAAATTAAAATGGGATAAAATATTATATTCGTTGCTGCATTTTAGAAATTTACACAGTACGCATTTGATAAAAGTAAAAAGAAAATGAAAAAAAAAAAAACACTTCCGATGATTCCTGCAGATGATACCCCCCAAAATCATGTATATCTTTCAGCACAATCATAAACCCCAAAATATTTTTTAGAAAATTCCCAAAAAAAATAGATTCCTAAACCCTAAAGTTTGGCATTTTTTCAATAAAATAAAAACAGCTTTTTTCTCAGGCTTCAGATGTGGTGTAAGTGGTAGTAGTAGTGTTAACATCTTCTTCAGAAGTGGGATTATCATCTTCTTCTTTAGGCTTAGTCGCAAGGAACTCAAGGGCAGTGACAACATCCGCCATTAGAGGCCGAGTGTCTGGTTCTTCTTGCAGACACATTGATGCAATGGCCAGAGCTTGATACAGTCCCTTTGTCGGATACTTCCCTTTTAGCAACGGATCCGCTATCCTCGTAAACGTGCTCTTATCTTTCAGCATCGGCTCCGCCTGCCCAAAAAAAAAAAACCATCCCTCATTCTCTGTTTCTTCCTTCCAAGGACTCGGGAAAAAAAACATTTTGAGTGTATGTTTTGGTGGGTTTATTACCCATGCGACCAAGTTCTGTTCTTCTGTTGGTCTCTCTGTGTCTATAGCTCTTATCCCAGAGATGACTTCGAGAAGAACGACTCCGAAGCTATAGACATCGGACTTTGTCGTGAGCTGACCTGTCATGGCGTATTCAGGAGCACAGTATCCGTATGTCCCCATCACTCTGGTGGATACATGATCTTTTCCACCGGTTGGTCCTAACTTTGCCAGCCCGAAATCCGACAGCTTTGATTCGAAATCCTCGTCTAACAGTATATTCGCCGCTTTGAAATCTCGGTATATCACCGGAGGATCTGCAAAGTTGTGTAAGTACTCGAGCCCTTTCGCTGCTCCGTGCATTATTTTCATCCTCGTGAACCAATCCAGACATGGTTTTCCTTCGGGTAGATCTTAAAAGAAAAATTACCCGAAACAACTCAAAACACGAGATAATTCAAGATTTCCGGCCGGAGGTGTATATATACATACCGAAGAGCTGATCTTCCAAAGATCCATTAGGCATGAACTCGTAGACGAGGACCCTTTGGTCGTCTTCTACGCAGTATCCGATGAGCTTCACAAGGTTTGCATGCTGAGCCAAACTCAGAACCATCACTTCTGCAAAGAATTCTCTTGTCCCTTGAAGCCCATTTCGGTCAAGCCTCTTTACAGCAACCACCTACTTACCACATTGTCCATACATTCATGGATCCAACCCCGTCTTCAATCATGTTCTTATATACATACACACACATATATATTCATATGCATATATGTATGTATGTATGTATGCACATGGTAAGAGTTGGAAGAGAAGACGAGACCTGATTAATGCAGTTGAGGAATCCTCTGTAGACTCTCCCAAAGCCACCTTCTCCAACCATACAATCCATGCTGAAGTTATCGGTGGCGGCTATGAGTTCCTTGAACTTGAAGACGCGGCCGCTGTTCTTTGCATTCCCTAACTTCTTTATTTCTTCTGTTATATATCTCTGCTTAAGGGTTCCTACGTTCGGAAAACAATTCTCAATTCTAATGAGTTTGAAGCGATGTAAAGATCTCAACTTTGACAAGAAACAAAAAGACAAAATGTTTTGGGGGCTTGTTCTTCCTAATTCATATATGAAAACAAAGTTCAAATCATGCAGTCTCGATGAATCATCTGTTCGAGGATTCATCCGATACCAAAAGAAAAACAGAGAGGAAATCAACGAAACCATCATGGTCGAGTATTCCAAAATGCCAGATGATGAGTAAAGACAAAGGTATACACACCTTTTCCACGGGAGATGGTCGAGAAGAGAGTAGCAAGTCTATGCCTTTTGCCTGTCTTCACCTTCAGGGATTGATCAAAGGAATCTCTGGACAGGCTGGAGATCAGATGTGGCTTGAAACAAGGGCAAAGCTTCATTTTCTTGACAAAATCCTTCAATAAATGTGATCCCAAGGAAAGATTGAACCTTTTTCCAACCCTTCAGATCCAAATCAAATGGGGGCAAATGAGATTGAAAGAAAGGTCCAATCTTCCTGGGAACTCTGACAAGACAGAAGAATTTAGGGGACGAACACAGAGACAGTTCTGTCTGTTACATAAAAAGAACCTGAAATGTATAATTTCCCCCCTTGTTGGGATTGGATCCACCATTAGACAGGGTTTCTCCTCTCCATGTTCTTTTTTTAGGGTTTCTCAAAAGACTTTGAATTTGTTTTATTTGGACGAAACCAACGCGGACTCTTCCAACCATCTTTCTTCCACATCATATAATTCGAATCCAATTAGGCATATCCTGGTATGGACCTCAAGCCAAGACTTTGTAGTCTTCAGCATATACATTACATAAGACAACTATAATACATCAACACAAGGCAACATATATATATATATCCATTGGATATAAATCTGAATACAACACCAATAGAGTCTAAAAACCTGCAAAAGAGCATATATCCAAATGAAAATCCAGGGGGCGACAGGGTCATGGTGCAAAGATTCTTTCTTTGACAGATTCTGAGAAAAATCATGATGAAACCTTCCTTGAATGTTTATAAAATGTGTCAGATTAGGAGAGGAGAGGAGAGCAACACAGCACTGGCGCATCCCCAAGAAATAAAACAGAATGTCTTACTATCATCTATGGAGATAGCATAATGTACAGTGCCTGGGAAATTTCCAGTTACCCAGATTGCTAAAGAGAGTATTACCAGCTGACCAGCAACAAATTATTCATCATCGACAAGCAAAACTTCCAAACACAGATTTGAGTGAAACAACAAAGATTTGAAAATTTCAAAGAAGGATTGCTTTATGATTACCAATCTCTGAACTCCAAAGCCTAATTTCGAAACTAACTCTCATCATTGTTCATTGAGGCAAAGCAGCTTCAACTTCATCCCACAACTCGGTGTTCCTCGAAAACTTCTCCTTTACTTGTGCAATGAGCTCCTTTGCCTCATCAACCTTTGAACTGCTTGCAAGCCCGTTAACAAGAGACTTCATGATGGTGAAACCAGGAACCCAATTCTTCTCCATACTCTCCCGACAAAGGCTCAAGGCTGTCTCAAAGTCCCCACCTTTGCACAAGTAATATATCAGGGTGAAGTAGCATTCGCTATCCGGCTTGCATCCCCTGTTCACCATTGTCTTAAACAATCTCTTCGCCTCATCCAGATTATCTTCCCTGCAAAACCCGTGAATCAAATGGCAATATGTCACAGAATTCGGTTTTATCCCACTAGACAACATCCCATCAAGTAGAGCCTTCGCCTCTGCGGATTTCCTCCGTTTACACAAACTCTGAATCCTTATGTTGTATGTACTGACACCGACACTAAGCCCGCGTTCTTTCATCATCTGCAACACTTTTCCGACGTCATCACGCTTGTCCTCCTGGTAAAAACCAGCAATCATGAGCCCGAAACTCGTCCTCGTCGGCTGTATCCCTTTCCTTTCCATCTCTGCAACGATGGAATAGGACGAGCTTGCAGACCCTGATTCGCAGAACACTTTGATCATGCGGTTATAAGTTTCAAGATCAGGCTCAATGCCATACATCTTCGGCATCTCGATGTAGACCCGTTTCGCTTCTTTGTAATCCTTAGCCACTAAGCACGCAAAAATAAGAGCATTCAGAGACGTCACCGTCCTACGAATCCCGAGCTGCTCAAGCTCACAGAACGTCCGTAAAGCGTGATCGAGCATATTCGCCTGACCGTACAGAACGATGGCGTGAGAAGCGAAGCGTTCTGATTTGAGATCGGGTCGGGTCTGAATGAACCCATCGAGGAGCTGCGACACAGCGGCGAACTGTTTCTCCTTCGCAAGAGCCTCGACAGCGTGGGAGAAGGAGATGCGGTCGAGATGGGATTCCGGCGTGAGCTCAGCGGCGCGGCAGATCTCGATGATGCGATCAGGGTCCTTCTCGAACTTGAGGAGGGAGAGAGCAGCGCGGCTCTTCTGCTTGCTGGTGAGCGGAGTCTTGGAGTCCGGCGAGAGAATCGCCGACGGGGAGGCGGAGAGATGGCGGGTGTGAGGCGGAGGAGAAGGAAGGTTTCGGAGGAGAGATGACGATGTACGGATGCGGGAGAGGAAAGCCATTTCTAGGGTTCCTTTTCGATCTACAGAAGAAATGGGGAAGAAAAGGGAGTACAGTTAATGCTGGTTAGGGTTTTTGGTCTTGACGGACGATGCCTATTTTCTTTTCATAAAATTTTGATTTTTTCGATAAAATAAACATTAAATGAAACAAGTACGTGATTTTTTTAAAAATAAAATACTACAGTTATCTCTGATAGTTACGAACCGTTGATGGTTTGTCAACGACGGTAAGCAAATTATACGGTTGAGATTAATCCACGTGGAAATAAATTTTATCAAAAAAGTAAAAAATGTTTGAACCGCATGGATCGGGGGATTGAACCCGACGTGAATCGAACACGCAACCTTCTGATCTGGAGTCAGACGCGCTACCATTGCGCCACGGATCCGTTGGTGTTGGATTGTATATTACCTTAATTATCTAAGACATTCTTTTCGAACTAAATTGCCCAAAATAAGATTCGAGGATCAAAACGTGTGACCATCATCATCATGTTGTTTATATTGCAGCCCCAATCTACAGATCAGAACCAGTGGTACGGACAAGGACAGGAGTTTTACGGATACTCAGGACAAAGACCCTAACTTGCTCCAAGTACGCAGGCTGCAACAGCATGTTGGATTCAGCTACTGAATATTAAAGCTGAAGGCTTTCTTAATTTTAATCAATAATATTCTTCAACTTGTCTTCCTTTGATGATTTATGATATTATTAATAATATTATTTAATAATATTGACACATGTATCACCTCCGCACCAAAGATGGAATATTCTTCTCTCTTCTTTACCCTACACTCCATAAAATCTGTAACGAATTGTTTCTAGCGAATATTTACAGAATTTAAACTCTTGTTATCACGAATTTGGTGAGTTAATATCTAACCCTTTCGGTTAAAAAAATGCCACAAAATAAATAAAATCTGATTAGGGATAACTTCATCTGTGCCAATATATTAATCTTTTGAAAAAGTTAAATTTGAGAGAAAATGTAAAGTTAGTGTTCTTCCTTGTTCATTCATATTATTTTTATTTTGGATGAAGAAAAACACCAAGATGAAAGGAAAATATTGAAATTCATAAAACTTAGGGTAAATTTCACTAGATGTAAATAATTTAGGGTATATGTTTAATTTTCGTAAAGTAAAAGGGTTTAAGTGCTATTAATATGTCTCCCTTTCTCTTTCTCTCTCTCCCCTTTTTGCAACACTCCTGATTTTTCTCTTCTTCTCTCGTCGTCGTTGTTTCCCATCGAATTCATCGGAGATCCTGTCTCGAATTTTGCGGTTCTGACGATCATTTCGGTTCTCTTCATCCCTTGATCTTCTTCTGATCGATTTGATTTCTGCTCAACAGGTAGGTTTTGCGAAATGTGTGCGTAGATATCTACTTTCTCGAAATCTTTCGTAAGTTGCCTTGGAATTCATGTGAAATGGATAAGAAGTTTTCGCATCGTTTTCTGCTTAGATTTTGTCTCTGGGTTTAGATTTCCAGGCTACGAATTTGACATTTTTTCTGAATTCGGTACTGTTCTGTATCACATGTTCTTGCTAGTATCCCATGTTGTGATGTATGGTTTTCTGTGGAGATGTTAGTTAGCTCCTCGGACTTTTCGTAATGAGGTTCCATTTATGTACTATGCATAATTGATTGAATCAATTGCTTCCAATAGTCTTGAGGCTGATGGATTCAATTGTGATTTTGGTGTTGAATATGCAGAATTGATGGGTGGAAGCCCTCTGGATTATGGTTACGTTGCGTGAGAATTGAAATTGAGATCTTTGAGTTCTGCTGAGTTTTGTCGAGATGAATGTGGTGGGTTTTGATGTCGGAAACGAGAAATGTATTATTGCGGTTGCAAAACAGCGTGGGATTGATGTTTTGTTGAACGAGGAATCGAATCGAGAAACTCCGTCTGTGGTTTCGTTCGGCGACAAGCAGAGGTTCATGGGTGCTGCTGCAGCCGCCTCTGCTACAATGCATCCCAAGTCAACAATCTCACAGTTGAAGAGATTGATCGGTAGGAAGTTCGGGGAACCTGATGTTCAGAATGATCTGAGGTTGTTCCCTTTTGAAACCTTTGAAGGCTCTGATGGAGGGGTTCAAATCCGGCTTCAGTACTCGGGTATGACTCATAGCTTCAGTCCAGTGCAGATATTAGGCATGTTGCTCTCACATTTGAAGCAGATAACTGAGAAGAATCTGAAGATGCCTGTTTCCGATTGTGTCATTGGGATTCCATCCTATTTTACAAACTTGCAGAGGCTAGCCTATTTGGATGCAGCAGCCATAGCTGGCTTGAGGCCGTTGAGATTGATGCATGATTGTGCTGCCACTGCTCTTGGATATGGTATATACAAGACTGATTTCGCTAACTCAAGCCCCACTTACGTCGTATTTGTTGACATTGGTCAATGTGATACGCAAGTTTGTGTTGCATCATATGAAGCTGGGAGCATGAAAACCCTTTCTCATGCTTTCGATAGAGACCTTGGTGGGAGGGATTTTGATGAAGTTCTTTTCAACTACTTTGCCTCCGAGTTCAAGGAGAAGTACAAAATAGATGTATATACAAATACAAAGGCATGTGTTAGGTTGAGGGCATCGTGTGAGAAACTGAAGAAAGTCTTGAGTGCAAATGCTGAGGCCCAGCTGAATATAGAATGCTTGATGGATGAGAAAGATGTGAAAAGTTTCATCAAGAGAGAAGAGTTTGAGAGTTTGTCATCAGGATTGTTGGAAAGATTAATTGTTCCGTGTCAAAAGGCTTTGGCTGACTCGGGAGTGAGTTTGGATCAAATCCATTCTGTTGAGCTAGTTGGTTCAGGGTCTAGAATTCCAGCTATATCGAGGATGTTGAGCACACTGTTTAGAAGGGAGCCAAGCCGGACTGTAAATGCAAGCGAGTGTGTTGCTCGAGGTTGTGCACTTCAGTGTGCAATGCTCAGTCCAGTATTCCGAGTCAGAGAGTATGAGGTTCGTTTTTCCTTTACCTGCAAAAATGATCATTCTGTAATATTCAGTATGCAATAGTAGTTTGGGTTTAGCTTAACGTTAGTTATTCAGTGTGACGACACATATAGATATTTGGGGTTATTTTCCTCTGAAAGGCTGGTGGTGCCTAATGCCAATGTTTCTGTCATTTGCAGGTTCAAGATTCATTTCCTTTCTCGGTCGGGTTCTCATCTGATAAAGGCCCCATAAATATGTCATCAAATGGAATACTCTTCCCAAAGGGACAAGTCTTTCCGAGTGTTAAGGTTCTTGCTTTACGTAAAGATAGCACCTTCCATTTGGAAGCCTTTTATGTAAACCATAACGAATTACCTTCGGGTGTGCAGCCTCAGATAAGCAGTTTTACGGTACGTTCTTTTTCAATTATCTGTTTCTGGATTTATAACTCAGCATTTCGAGCTTTGAGATACTCACCGGGCAGTGTTGCTCCATTTTGTGTGTGCCCATTTTATGGAACTCTTAATTCATTGTATAATGTTTTGTAGATTGGCCCTTTTCAAATTGCTCATAGAGAAGCAGCACGTGTCAAAGTGAGGATTCAGCTAAATCTGCATGGGATTGTTACCATAGATTCAGCTTCTGTGAGTACAAATGTATTCCACATGTGTTTATATTAGTATTTATACATCACTTAATCTATTATTTTTGTTTCTCAACAGCTAGTAGAAGATCACCAAAACAGTACAAGTTCAGATGAGATAATGTCTGAAAACAACCGTACATCTTCTGCTACGAAGGATGACAATTCAGACCCTTCAGCAGGACCTACTGTAAGTTTGATTTAGTTGTTTCCATTTAAGAGATATTCCTACTTAATCGTCTTGAACATGTAAAGATAGCTAGAAACTGATGGGCACAAAAGCTGATCTCTTAGTATTTACGAACAATCGAGTGGTTGGTCGGGAAATTCCACAAAGCACGTTCATCTGTACAAAGTTTGAGGACAGCTTTATCTGGGCAGGGAAACGATTCTACAAAACATAAGACTAGTAAAAGGATGGAAATTCCTGTGGTTGAGAGGGCCTCTGGTGCATTGACGAAAGATGAGTTGCTGGAAGCGAAACAGAGAGAGAATTCTTTAGTGCAGCAAGACCTGAAGATGGAGTTGACAAAAGATAGGAAAAATGCACTAGAATCCTATGTTTACGAGATGCGGGATAAGGTAATATACCACATTAATGTCTGTCTCTTCAAAATCTTTACCACATTAATGTGTAACATTGTGAATGTGAGTAGATGTTAAATACATACCGGAGTTTTGCAACCGAGGCAGAGCGGGAAGGCATTGCCAGAAATCTTCAAGAGACAGAAGAGTGGCTTTACGGAGATGGCGATGATGAATCTGAAAATGCTTACACCGAGAAGTTAAATGACCTCAAAAAGGTAAATGCAAAGCCTGATTTACACGTTTGTCGGTGGGCAAAAAGGTCTGTAGCCTTCTAACCGGCGACCTTTCTTTCGGACAGCTTATTGATCCAATTGAAAACCGGTTTAAAGACGGAGAGGAACGGGTACAAACATCAAAAGATCTTTTGAATCATATAGCAGAGAACCGAGTGGCAGCAGAATCACTTCCTCCAGCAAAGAAACATGCGGTAAAGTTCAATCCTTACCCTTCCTTTCAGAAAGTTGCTGACTTGATCTCCATCTAGACGCTACGGATGAAAATCACAAAAGATATAATCCACATTGAACTTTCAGTTACTGTTTACTTGAAATATATATATATATATGTACACGTATGATTTGTGGACTGATTTATAACGAATATATGTGGAAAGCTTTTGTGGTTCGCTTAATATTTTCATTACTATCAGGTTCTTGACGAGTGTGATAAAGCTGAGAGGTGGCTCCATGAGAGAACCAAGCAACAAGAGAATTTACCAAAAGACACAGATCCTTCGCTACAATCCAGTGAAATCAAGAGAAAAACCGACGCCCTTAACGCGTAATTCTTCCTTTCTCCTTTACTCTTTTATGATTCAAACTCAAAGCTTGGTTCCGGAACATATGCTGTGACACTGTAAACAAGGGGAAGGCGAGACAATTCGTCATGTTACAAAAAAAAAAGACCGAACCCAAACCCGTGGTCCGGGTTTCTGGCCTCGTTTCACCCGTTTTTCATTATTCGTGGCTAGTACCATGAGACCACCGGGTACTCGGAAACCAATGGTCTTGGATAAAAATGTTCACCCCTACCGTAAACTTCTTTAGGCTTATATATATAACATATGCATTTTGTGTGAACCAACCTTAGATTTGGGTTTGGAAAACATCTTCCATGGATTTAGATGTGTATGTACAAAGACTCAGTCTGATGGGTCAGTCGTCGAATAGGTTTGATCTGATGGAAGGATTTTCGACATGGATTTCAGGACATGCAAATACATCGCAAGATCCAACAAGTCATCGGATCATCACAATGGATCTCATGGACGCAATAAATCGGACGACATGCAGCTCGATTGATTCCAAACCTAAAAAAGAACATTTTGGGGGGCAAAAATGGATGAAAATCTCATGCAAAGCTGAATGGGATCCGCTTGGGAATTTCTGCTTCAATTGGAACGAGTTTTTTGTAAGATTTTGATTCATCATTTGCAATCTGTTTTTTTTTAAAAAAAAAATCTATCTTCTTAATACTTGTGTTTTACCTTTCATATATGTTTGATTCGATTTCAGTCCTATTATTCATGCACTGCAAAAGAATCTAAATGTGGATTACATATACATACACATATATATATAGTATTTTGTCATAGAAGGAGAGGAATCTTTTTTTTTTTTTTTGTGTGTAGAGACAAAATGAGGAGTTCCCACTTTCACCTAACGAGTTTTCGTACGAAAGTATGATTAAAAAAACCAACGCAAGGCAATGATGACATGTTTACAGATTACAAGCAAGCATGATTGGTGAGATGACGTCATACACGGCCAAAAAATCTATATAGTTGTTTTTTCTTTTGGTATGCGCGTGAAGCGGGTCATGACTCGTCCGTACATCCGAGTTGGGGTGAGTCCAAATTTTTTAACAAAAGAATCAGAAATCGTTACAAATAATTCCACTACTCGGACGATGATGCGAAATATGCCGCTGAAAAGTAGGAAGTTATTTGGTGTTTAATGAATTTGAAACCCCCAAAAAAATAGATTGAACGAGTACGAGTTTACAGACTTCCGCGAACGAGAAAAAAAAAACATTTTTAAAATTTTTAAATTTTTAAATATTCTTTATTATATTTAATATTTTTATAATAATCTCTCTTTCTTTAAAATATTTAATCTATTACATATGCGATTAGCATAATTTAAATTGTATTTAATTAGTTAGATGTTACTTTGATTTGCAAGCCGTCTCGTTTACTATATGATCTAGCTAAGGCGAGCCAAATTGAGTTAAGTATTTTTCACTTTGCTAAAAAACGAGTCGGGTCGGGTCGGGTTGAGATTAAAAATTCTAAGATTGAGACGGGTCGGACTGATCTTGAGGGGGCCATATGCTGAGAAGAGATATCATATCCTCTTTCTAATATTGTCATGAAGAATCTAGAAAAAAAACCCACATTGATTCAATGAACTTTGTCGCTTGCTCTTTGCTTAGAGTTATACAATTTAATAAAGCAAATTACTTTGTTGCAAAATGCATATTTTAATATGGATATATAATGTTAGGTTTCGAAAAAAAACGATTCTAGATTTTTTCCCATGAATGGGCATCATATACAAGGTAATAAACAATGAAACTATCATCATTAATAGGATATTTGTGCATTATCTAATTTGGTTGAAACTATAAATTTAGATTCTTTGATATATTTATTTGAAAATAATCGATCATCGGTGGGAACATAGAAGAGGAAGAAAACAAAGGGCATAGATTATATTTGATGTTGAATGAAAAAGGGCCAACGTCTTGTCTGTTAGGAGAATTTGATTAAGTCAAAAGTTGTTGAATAAAGACCTGATCTTTTGGGTTGTTAGAGGTATTTTAGTTGGTTTGTTTTGTGACATTTGTCTCTATTTCTTGTTACGTGTAAAGGCTATATAAAGCCAGTTGCAGTCTTTAATAAAGTATCACTTCAAATCCCAATTGTTGGTGTTTCTTATTTGATTAATTCTTTAGCAAACATCACATTTGGTATCAGAGCCTCCACTGGGCTTTGAGAAATAGGAAGTTGCAATCTTCGAGTGATCGAACACAGAGAGTATGAGTGACGACAAAACTTTAACAAAGATTCCTCATTTCGATGGGCATTATGATCACTGGAGTGAACTGATGGAAAATTTGCTTAGAGCAAAAGGTCTGTGGAGCTTGGTGGAGAATGGCTTTACAGAACCATTGGAAGGGACGAGACTGACCGAAGCACAACAGGCGTTGCTTGATGATGCTAGAACCAAGGATCATCAAGTCAAGCATTATCTTTTCCAGGCAATCGATCGTACTGTCTTTGAACAAATCTTGGACCGTCGCACATCCAAGATTGTTTGGGACTCGATGAAGCGGAAGTTCGGTGGCAATCCGAAAGTGAAGAAATCTCTTCTTAACGCATTAAGAAGGGAGTTTGAGATCCTAGAGATGAAGAAGGATGAAACCATCACTGATTATTTTGCAAGAGTGATGACGGTCTCCAATAAAATGAGGAGCAACGGCGAAGAAATGACAGACAAGAAAATTGTGGAGAAAATCTTGCGCACCTTAACTGAGAAATTCACATATGTCGTGGTATCCATCGAGGAATCGAAGGATACGGATAACATGTCCATCGATGAATTGCAGAGTTCGTTAGTGGTGCATGAACAAAAATTCCGACGTTCCAACAACCATGACGAGGATCAAGTTTTGAAAGTCGAAGGATGGTCAGGAACAAGCAGTAGAGGGAGAGGAGGTTATAGAGGAAGAGGACGCGGACGAGGAAGATCACATTTCAACAAAGCGACTGTTGAATGTTATAAATGTCATAATTTAGGACATTTTCAATATAATTGTCCTCAACTAAACAAGGAAGCCAATTATGCGGAGTTGGATGAAGAGGATGAGTTACTGTTAATGGCCTACATAGACCTACATGAAGCTAAGCGAAGTGATGCTTGGTTTTTGGATTCTGGATGTTCAAACCACATGTGCGGAAATCAAGATATGTTTTCAAGCTTGGACACAAGTTTCAATCACACTGTCAAGCTTGGAAACAATAGCAGAATGAAGGTTACTGGGAAAGGAGTTGTGAAGCTATTTTTGCAAGGAGTTTGTTACACTATCGGTGATGTGTATTTTGTACCTGACCTCAAAAATAATCTTTTGAGTGTCGGACAACTTCAAGAAAAAGGAGTAGCAGTGCTCTTCAAAGCTGGTATGTGTAGCATCTTTCATCCGCAAAGAGGAAAAATAGCAGAATGTGTTATGAGTGCAAATCGCATGTTTATCTTGCTTGCCGAATCGTCTACCACAACGACTGAAGAGAGATGCCTCCAGATTCGTAGTGGAGATCAATCAACATTATGGCACCATCGGTATGGTCACCTCAGCTACAAAGGTTTAAGGACTTTACAATACAGAAACATGGTGATTGGTTTGCCACAAATAGTAACGCCGCATGCTACTTGCGAGGCATGTGTGAAAGGCAAGCAACATCGGACTCAAATTCCTAAAAAGAGTCAGTGGAGAGCAACTGAGAATTTGGGTTTGGTACATGCCGATATTTGCGGGCCGATTACACCACTCTCAAGCAGTAAGAAGAGGTATATCCTATGTTTCATCGATGATTTTTCTAGGAAAGCATGGAGTTATTTTCTTTCAGAAAAATCAGAAACATTTTATCATTTTAAATGTTTCAAAATCCTTGTGGAAAAGGAAGTTGGAATGCCTATTAGATGTTTGAGAACAGATAGAGGGGGAGAATTCAACTCTGCAGAGTTTAATGAGTTTTGCAAGCAACATGGAGTGAAAAGACAACTGACAACAGCTTACACTCCACAACAAAATGGAGTAGCCGAACGCAAGAATCGCACTGTGATGAATTTGGTAAGATCAATGCTGTTAGAAAAGAAAGTGCCCAAAACTTTCTGGCCAGAAGCAGTTAGGTGGACGATTCATATCTTGAATCGATCACCCACTTTAGCTGTAAAAGACAAGACCCCAGAAGAGGCTTGGAGCGGAGAAAAGCCATCGGTCGATTATTTCAGAGTTTTTGGATGTGTGGGTCATGTGCATATTCCAGATGTTAGAAGAACCAAACTTGAAGATAAAAGTGTGAGGTGCGTATTTTTTGGGGTTAGTAGTAATTCCAAAGGATACAGAATGTTTGATCCAGTTGCCAAGAGGATCATTGTAAGTCGTGATGTGGTTTTCGAAGAAGATCGTGAATGGGATTGGAATGCAGATGTTGAAGGCGAACAACAAGCGGAATTGGAATGGGGAGACAATGATGAAAGAGAAGCAGAGAACATAGTTGGAGAAGAAGTCGCAGAGGAAGTTGAAATTAACTTGCCCACTGAAGTTAATTTACCTATCGTTGCAACAGATTTGGAAGCAAGAGAGGGAAGAAATAGACATCCACCTATTTGGTCAACAGATTACGTTTCAGGTGAAGGATTGTCAGAGGAAGATGAAACTAATATGGCATTTTTGATGATATCAGATCCAACAGATTTTGAAGAAGCTGTCAAAAGCCCAAAATGGAGATTGGCCATGGATGAGGAAATCAAATCCATCGAGAAAAATCAAACCTGGCATTTAGTAGATCTACCGGCGAATGCAAAGAAGATTGGCGTCAAATGGGTTTATAAAACCAAATTGAATGAGCTTGGTGAAATCGACAAATACAAAGCAAGACTGGTGGTGAAAGGGTATACCCAACAACATGGGATTGATTATACAGAGGTTTTTGCACCTGTGGCCAGGATGGATACCGTTAGAATGATCATAGCTTTTGCGGCACAAAAAGGTTGGAAACTTTATCAATTAGATGTCAAATCCGCTTTTCTCCATGGAGATCTGAAGGAAGACATTTTCATAGAGCAACCAAAGGGTTATGAGAAGAAGGGAAGCGAACAAATGGTATATAAACTGCATAAAGCACTCTACGGATTAAAACAGGCCCCCAGGGCTTGGTTTAGCCGCATAGAGACATATTTTATCAAGGAAGGATTCGAAAGCAGTTCCAATGAGCAGACATTATTTATCAAGAGAAGAGGAGGTAAAATTTTAATCGTGAGCATCTACGTTGATGATCTTTTGTTTACTGGCAATGATGAGGAGTTATTGGGTGAATTTAAATGCTCGATGAAAAAGGAGTTCGACATGAGAGATTTGGGTCAAATGAGATTTTTTCTTGGAATTGAGGTTTTACAAAAAGCTGATGGTATATTCATATGTCAAAGAAAGTATGCAGCTGAGGTTTTAAGTAGATTTGGAATGGAGAAGCATAATCCAGTATGCAATCCTATTGTTCCAGGACAAAAGATTGGAAAGGATGAAGAAGGCATAAAAACAGATGCAACTCAATTCAAACAGATAGTGGGAAGCTTGATGTACCTTACAGCCACTCGTCCAGATCTCATGTTCGTCGTCAGTCTTATCAGTCGATTTATGGCATCTCCTACCCAACTACACTTTGCTGCAGCAAAAAGGATACTAAGGTATTTGAAAGGAACTGTGAATTATGGAGTATTTTACAAAAGGGGAGGGGCTAGTGATATAGTTGGGTTCACTGATAGTGATTATGCTGGTGATATGGATGATAGCAAAAGTACTTCAGGTTATGTGTTTATGATGAGTGGTGGAGCAGTGGCTTGGTCATCTCGTAAGCAACCTATAGTCACTTTGTCATCCACAGAAGCTGAATTCGTCGCAGCTGCAGCATGTGCTTGCCAAGCAATTTGGATGAGAAGGATACTGAAAGAGATTGGTCATTTGCAGACAGAAGGTACTATGCTGATGTGCGATAACTCTTCGACTATCAAGCTGTCCAAGAATCCAGTTTTACATGGTCGTTCCAAGCACATAAGGGTGAGATTTCATTTTCTTAGAGATCTTACTAAGGAAGGAGTTGTCAATTTATTGTTTTGCGGTAGTCGAGATCAACTTGCAGATCTGATGACAAAACCTCTCAAGTTAGAAACATTTCGGAAGTTGCGTGAAGAGCTGGGAATGTGCACTGATTCTGTTTTGAACTAATTCTTGTCTGAGTGTCTGCTGTTTCCCGACGTGAAACCGACATGCAGTGTGGACCCACACAAAACGACAAAATAAGAAAGCCAACATAAGACCATCCCCCTGCCTATGAACCTAGCAGACGTGGAGAATTTTAATTGCTACACATATTACAAGAAAAAACAGGTCATGACAAAAAAAATGGATATTTTTTTAATAATTAACGTCATTTGTTACAAACTTGATTGTTTAATTACTAAGAAAATTTCCAGAGCCACTAAAAGGTGAATATACCTCTTAGCTTATCATAATTAGTCAAAAATCAAAATCAAAATCATCAATTGGACGGTGTAAAAACCAAATAATTTCTGTTTATACCAACACTATATTGTGAATTTGTTTTCCATATCAGGAAAAGAGTTGAAAAAATTTACCAGATGGAGAGAGAATCCAAAGCGAGCTCTGGATCTTTGAGAAGACCGGCGAGAAGAACAAGAATCTGAGAGTACCAAGATTCAAGACAGAGCATGACCGCCGATGCCGCCGATAGCCGGAAAAAGTCCCAGAGACCGTCGAAAGCTTTCCAGCTAAACCCCGTCCATGTTCTCCGGCAACGAGGGCTCATCTTTATGTACAGAATCTGAGCCACCACGATGATCCACCATGAGAGGGCATGAACCAGCGACAACCCAATCAGACCCATTCCGAGCTTGTAGACGGCGACCCACGAGAAGAGAAGGTGGAGGACGAGCGTCGCCGCCGAGATATACGCGCTCGGCGTCACGATGCTCTGCGCCTGGAGGAATTTCTGGATCGGGAAATTCATGGCGTACGCGAAGATCTGAGGGATCATCCCGTAGACGAAGACCGACGCCATTGATGCTACGTCTGCGGGTTCGCCGAGGAATGTGAGGATCGGCTTCGACAGGACGTAGAGCACCGTCATCGGAAGTCCGGTGAGAGCCAAAACCACCGTCGATCTCTGGAGATAAACTCCGAGCATCTCGTAACGATGAGCTCCGTGAGCTTGCCCACATAGCGTCTCTACTGCACTTCCCATCCCAAGCTGCAACAAACCCAGACAAAAGAAACGGTTAGATTTCGAAGATACTGGGTCTTCGCTCCAGAGCCCAATTTGAATTTCAAATCTGGGTTTGACCTAATTAGCTCTGAAGAAGAACAGAATGGGTCCATATCCGTTAGATTCAGGGGTTTTGGTTGAATTACCAAGAGACCGTAAGTGAACATGTTGAAGCCGCTGTTTCCGAGCGAGACGGCGGCGAGTTGGAGGCTACCGAGGTGTCCGGCGAAGATTCTGGTGAGAATCGACATGCCATTGTTGATCACGTAGACAAAGACGGCGGGAGCAGCCAAGTGGAAGAGAAACTTCAGCTCGATCATGGAAGCTAAGTAAAGTCGCCGGAAATACGGCAAATGGGAATCGGACAAGACGCTCTCGAGCCGGTGATCGGCCTCCGGTGGTTTCGTAGAATCCAGCAAGGGCCGGTTCAGATCGATTGGTGCTTCCGAACCCATAATTTTTCCACGAATTAGACCTTTCCGGAAACAGAAATCAGAGAAAGAATGATCGTACAATTGATACAAGGGGGAAAAATCAGAGGGCTCAGGAGAAGAAGAATGGAAGCTCCTCGATAATGTCGTATGAACACGGAAGGAGCTCTCTCTCTCTCTCTCAATCGGTCTCTCAGAGTCCTCACAAGAAGAGTGTTTATATAATGGCTAAAACACCGTGTTGTCAAGTGGCGGAATTTATTTTTCTATTATTATATTGAAAAACAATTTTAATAGGGAAAAAAAAAAGATAAAGAAAGGCGGTTTCCTTTCTTTTTCCCAAATTATTTCCTAATTTTAATTAATTAATTTAAGGAGATTGAACTCGTTAAGTGGGTCCCGAAATACTCAGCTAAAAAAAAAATCACGATTTCATAAACCAAATCAATAAACTGCAATTAATATCATGTGGTTAACAAGTTTTCTGTAATTGTATCATAGTTCAATTAAGAATAATTACAGAAAAAATGTCATAACCTATCGTAAGCATAAACATCTATTTTATATTAGCCCTAATCACACTCTTGGATCATCACATACATAACCGTACGTAAATATAAATATAACCATAAGTATTCTACGTAGAATTCGTCACATACATACACGTATATATACTACAGCTTTTGGAGAAGCTCCAAACGCCGTAATATTCTTCCGACGATGTTGAATTGTACACAGTAAACTGAATAAAAGAAATTTCAAAAGTGCAAAAAATGTATTGTATATAGTAATGACTTTATATATATATATATATATATATATATATATATATATATATATATATAATACTAAATCTTAGAGCTCAAATTTGACTTCCTTGTTAGCTGAAAAAGAGCTGGTTTGCTCTAGTTTTCAACAATAATTATTAAATGCCATTTGTTTTTTGGGAAAACATATTTAATTAATTTCCAGAAAAAAAATATAGTCGCAATCACAAGATTTTCAGTTTATTTATGTAAATTTTTCTGACCATATAACCATAATCACAACACAATAGTTGTCACTGTCTATCATTAACTTCTGATATTAATTTTTTTAATGATTTTTTTTATAGTACATACTACATATGAACGTAGAAAAAATATCTATTAGTTTCACTAAAAAAATAAGATTTGTTGCCTACGCTTTGAGATATTAAATGCTTGTATCGGAATCTGAGCTTTTGATTATTTTTTTTCATTTTAAATCGATAAATTAATATGAAATTAAAATAACAAAATTAGAAGAAAAAAAATATAACATATTCAGACGTTTGGCAATGTTATCGGGCACAAACTCCATATAATATATGGTTATAAAACCATCTAATAAGATTAACTAACCACATATGTTCAATTAACAACAATTACCAGTTTTTTTTTACCAGCTTAATATTCTTTTACTATTTTAGCGACATGTTTTACATTTTTAGAACAAAATTTAGTTTACAAAATATTTTCTTTAAAATTCAAAAATTAAATTAACACGTTTAGAAAACCCATTGTTTATTTAGCATGCGCCCAAAAAATTCTACCTTACAGGAAAAGACACGTATTAATGGACCACTTTTTGTCCGAAACGAGTAATGCCCGATATTTGATTTTATTAAGCTTTTTTGGCGACATGTTTTACATTTTAGAATAAAATATAGTTTATAAAATATTTTCTTTACAATTCAAAAATTAATTTAACATGTTTAAAAAAACCTTTATTTATTTAGCATGCACCCGAAAAATTCTACCTAAAATATTGACAGCCTTACAGGTAAGACACGTACCACTTTGTGTCCGAAACGATTGATGCCCAAGATTTGATTTTATTAAGCTCGATACAGTCAACGCTCCAAAAGAATGTAAAATATAATTAAATACATAATCAATCATCTAACCTCCGATTTAATTTATTTATGGAAAATCATTGTGTAATATCTAGACACGTGGCAATATATCTTATGTACTAATGCATATCTGTGTTGATTAGTGGACCTTTTTAATAATGTTTTTGATATGTGACGTCGAATTGAATGACAGATGCCTACCTTTTGCTCGAATTGTAGGTAACGTAAATATTTATGACCTAACTAATATGTGTAATTTCGCATTATCTAAAGAAGGGTGTTTAAAAAATGTTATGACTACTGAACGAAACATTATATCCAATTCCTTAAATATTATTATCACCATAATATAAAATTTTAAAGTTAAGAAAATGAAACTAAAATAATATAGTTTGTTCGTATTTTCAAACAAAACAATCGAAATATATAGCAGTGCGTATATTCGAGGAAGAATATTTTAATTATAAAAAGGCGATTTTTGCTTTTTGTTTTTGGAAATTTTCCTAAAAAAAATGAGAACAACTGATGTGAGAAGACATCAAAGCGATCAGATTAACATTCCTTTTTAATAATGGACTACTGATAACAGCGATATATTGTACTATTGTTTTCTAATAAATTTTAATAATTACTATAAAATCAAAATAAAATAGAATTGCACTATTTTCTAATAAATTTTAATAATTACTAGAAAATCAAAATAAAATAGAATTAGTTTACTACTTTTTTTCTTTAATTTTAAAAGTATTATAATGGAGTTTTTATATCTTATAATTAGATTAATTTCTATGCAATATATTGAAATTTAAAAAATACATAAGAGCGAAGAATAGATTATTATTTTCTAGATGGGGCGGAGATTGCGGTTCTTCAATTTCTCTGCTTCTATTTCGCTCACCCAAAAAAGTAGTGTTTGTCGCGTGGATTTTTAATTTTAAAAAAACGAAAATAAAATACGAACGACTAAAAAAAACAAATAAAATTCGCTATAAAATATTAAAACCATGATTTCCTATACCAAGTTACTAACCACTAATCACGATGAAATGCGATATAAAATGAATGCAGTCCAATAATACATTAATTTAGCAAAGAAACAATAGAAAATTACGGAAAACCCGAGCACCTTCTAATATTAAATCATTGTTTTTTTTTAAGATGCTTCCAAAGTTAATACAAACTATATTATAAAGGTGAAAATAATGTGAGAAAAATGAAGTGCCACGTGGAGAGTAAACAAATAACGAATGCCAAACTCGTGGGGCAATCTTTTGAACGCGCCGTGGTCAGATAACGATGACTGCCGACGCGGTCAGGTGACAGGTCATACCTCCCAAAAGGAAGGAAATGTTAAATAATATACGTATATACACACATATATGTGTGTATTCTTCTGGGTTATACACCTGATGAAACGGACACAAATCTCTGTTTAGTTCGAATTTAGAAATTTAATTGGAATAATCATCATGTTATTAATCATGATTTTTTTTCACACTTATCTCTAATTGATAAAGAATATTGCGGCGAATTTAATTCTGATTTGAATATATAGGAACCAGCCCAATAATTAAAGTACAGTTGATTCTAGAGTTTTCTGATATATATATATATATATGTGGACCCACCTTCTCACGGTGCAAGTCCATTACGATTTAGCAGGTAATTCAAATTTCAATATTTTCGTATTCTTTAATTATTTATTTTTAAACAGTAACAAGAATAAGTAATTTGTTGAAATCAATATACTATAAATAGTTTTACATATTATATACAAATCATATACACGTGTATGTACATAAGTAGTATAGATATATGTATGTATGTATGTATGTCCAAAAAAGGAAATGTTCAATTGCTCTGGCTTCTGGATTATAAAAAAGAAACGTTGTTGACCTAATAGAATGGGAATCGTCTGATATATTTTTTTTTTATTGTTCTATCAATTTGGTTACTTCATACATTTCTATATGTGTATGAATGTATGTATACACTCTACTCCTAAACTTTAAGCTGAAAACAAAAAATACGCTTTGTATAATGTTTGGAAACATTCAAAATAATAATTTTTATGATATTGAAATTCATTTATATTACGACCGAGAACTAGCTTTCTTTTTGTTAGATGATTACCAATTTATAAATACAGACAACACACACATTACATATATCATATATAGATAATCAGATTTGGATCTTGTGAAGGATGATTACATCCAAAACAATCAAAGTATAAGAAAATAATTGGATAATATTAGTTGGGATATATAATAAGGTGGATTCGATATATATAAAAATACTCGAAAGTTTTTCGGATTTTCGACCCGACTATATTTCTCAAGGTTTGGATATAGTACATGTACCCCAAATATGGATATTCATCCCCAATCCGTGGCCCGAATATGGGACTTGAGACAAAAACACTCCACCATTCTCAACCAGTTTTACCACTCGGATCCGATCTTTTAGGTTTAAAAAATTATATTTTATAGTACGAAATAATTTAATCAAACCCCATGCTAATCTTCCTTGATAAACGTTTTCTAATATTGACAATTTTATAAATCACTTCACTCTATTTTCTTTATCACAAAAAGCAAAAAAAAAATGAAAGAAAAAAATCGGGTTGTCAAAATATTGAAATTGTAATATGAAAAGAATGAAAACGAAACAAAAAAAAAGTTGATCGTCGTTTATTAGTTTAAAATTTATTTAAATATTTTATGAAATAAATTAGGTCCTAATCAGGGCAAAAACTCGATCTTTTCCCTTCATTGAGGAATTCAAATGTGAATCAACCCAAAGTTCTATGGCCGATTTTGAAAGAGTAGACTTTCTCCGACATTTAAATATTTTGTTCAAAAGATTTGTTTCCATAAAATCCGAGATGTGCATAATACACCAGATTATCATACACACACACATATATATATATATATATACAGAAAAGAAATGAGATCATATATAAGTATGGACGTATAAGAGATGAATATAATTATATAATTGCCCATATCTTACATGATCCTCGATGATCAGATTATCATACATATATAATTGTTTCATAAAATCTAGATAATGATTATATATTATCGATGGCAATCTTTAAAAACTTTATTTTTTATTTAATATAGAAATATATTTGACTTGGGACATTATTAAGGAATATATAGGATTTATCTATCAATATATAGAAGGAGCTTTCCTTAATTACTATATGATTTGACAAACCAATATGTAGGATAGAATGAAAACAAGCGAATTCTGTTTTAATTATGAAAACGGATATTACCATCGTAGAATCATAAATTAACCAAACATGGCGGACGAAATATTTTCAAAAGATTCGCTATAATATAAAAGCTATTCGTATTTTTTTTTATAATCCGAAAGTTCACTAGACCTTTGGTCCAACTACATCTCCCAAAATACCGGGGAAGTTCAGGTGAATGTCTCTCCTCACGTTTGGGTTTAAACCCAGGGAGAGAACATGTCTCGTTATATTTGTCACTACTAGCAAAGATAAGTTTTAATAAAAATACAGTATTTACATTGCATTTGGACTAGATTTTAAGATTCATAGTCTGAAATCATTGTAACTAATAATACCAGTTTTTTTTTTCTAAAAGACAAAAATGTACCATGAAATAATTTATGAAACATGATGATTAATTCTGAACTTATTCCCTTAATCCTACATTATAAAGATTAATTAATAATTATTTAATCACCCAATAATTAGGCCAGACTTTGTCTTCAGAATCCCACGTGGGCTCCATTTCAGAGAGAGATTAATTATTGCAACCCTAATTTTTAATTAATTAACCTAATGATCAAACGTAATTAAATTGCAAGCTCTCAGTTCAATAACTGCAAAAAAAAAAAAAATCTTCTACAGAATTCAGAGATTCCCAAAGATCATCATTCCAACGTATATGATGATGCATGATGCATGCTATAAGATTTAACAATACAAATTAAATTTGTCAACAAATAATCATATAATCATTTCACATAAATATGTATTATTTCTTATTACAACGGAAACATCAGCCTTTGCATTATACAAATTAAGATCGTGTGCACAAGATACAATCCACACGAACAAATATTTTAATTTATAATAATTTAATAACGTTTACGTGTAACGTATTCAAAGTCGCAACTCGAGAATCACGTCGGACCAAAAATTCAAACCACGCTTAATTTAACTAAAACAAAGTTTTCATCCGATCTCGGGAAAACCCCAAGACCCCTCAAACTTGCAACCTATTAAAATTAAAATTGAAGCATACACTCATTTTTTTTTATTAAGACATATATATAATGTAATAGTTAGTTTTTTTTTTCTAAATAGAGTATGTTTAAATATTATATTTAGGGTTATTGATATGTAGTGAATATCTTAAGAGAGATACACATCTATTCTTAGAATAAAACTTAACTTTATCAATCTAATTAAATATATGTTTTTTTTTAACCTAAGAACGCGCACTTCGTGGTGATCCATGTTATTTACATGCATGCGGAATAAAATTCTGAAGGCATCAAAATTACAAAATCTTTCGGATTTAGACTGTGATCCTGCAAACGTATTATATACCAATATGTGTGTGTGTGTGTGTATCGTGGGCTTTCATGTGCCATTTGGATTATACATTTCACTTGAATGTTGAGCTTTTCGGCCCATCTATAATGGTGGGCTGTCATGTGAAATTTTACATCGACGAACAAACTATCGAATGGGCTGTGGCCCAAAAGCAGTAAAAAATACTGTGAAGAAAAAAGCAGAATACAAGATTTGAGAGAGAGAGAGAGAGAGAGAGAGAGAGAGAGAGAGAGAGAGAGATGCCACTCTATGCATGTTATGTTGTGGGAGTACTTGGTATATTTAGACCTAATTAAACCAAACCGGGCATTTAACCGGTATTTTTGTCTACTAACCGGTTAGACATCACCGTGGAAAAAACGAATTGAATAGAAAAAATTCAATTGAAGGTTAAATTTTTTAAAAAATATAATCATAAAAATCGAATAATTTTATGTCCTAATTTTATTCCACAAAATTAAACCAAACCGATCATTTAACCGGTATTTTTGTCTACTTACCGATTAAAGATCACCGTGGGAATCAAACCTCTCAATCATACTAATTAATAATAATAAAAATAAAAAAATAATAACAATTATTGGATTTTCAAGGCATAACATAATTTTGACTAATTATATAGCTATTAATTTGTATATATTCCAACAAATATACGAAAAAAAGTCGATTTAATTGAATGCAAACACCTCCGAAGGATTTTATTACATGGCTGCCACTCCGGAAGAGAAAGATCCCATTGTTTTATTGTAGCATTTATAAAGACAGCACATCCCTTTAGTATTATAAACTAAATCTATTTATTTCGTGTATGTCCATTAAAAGAAAATGAAATATGTTGAATTTAATATATTCATTTTATTCAATATTTCACAAAACGTGCTTAGGTGTCACCTCTTCATACATTCCTTTAAAACTATCACTCTTTTCCTCCCCCAACAGAAGAAGAAACGAAAGTAAAGATGGGATGCATGTGCCTGAAGCTGAGGAAGAAGCCGAAGAAACCAAAACCAGACAACAATGGCGGACTTGAAACTGATTCACGGAACAGAACAACACAAAGCCAACCAAAACAACAACATCGTCAAAGACAAACGACTCCAAGACATAACATTCAGATTGTTGTCCAGCCCCAGAAACTTCCTCTTCCTCTTCCTCTTCCTCAACCTCAACCCCAAGACCAGAAGAGTCATCATCTGCAGCAGCCTGAACCGATTCTCGGGAAGCCATTGGAGGACATCAAGGAAAAGTTCACGTTCGGTAGAGAATTGGGTCGCGGCCAATTCGGTATCACTTATCTCTGCACCGAGATTTCGACCGGGAGGACCTTCGCTTGCAAATCAATCTTGAAGAGGAAACTTCACAGAGTCCAGGCATGCATCTTTAAAACGTTAATATGCTTTATGGGTTTCATGGATATGATCAGATTATGCTAAAAAGATCGAAACTTTTCTGAGTCTAATTTGATAAAAGATTTGGTTTTGGGCAAACCGGATGGGACAGGACAGGGAGGATGTAAGAAGGGAGGTTCAGATAATGCAGTACTTGTCAGGGCAACCTAACATTGTGGAGTTCAAAGGAGCATATGAAGATAGACAGAGCGTTCATCTGGTCATGGAGCTTTGCGAAGGAGGCGAGCTCTTCGACAGGATCATCAAACACGGACATTACTCGGAGAAAGCTGCAGCAGAAATCATCAGATCCATTGTAAAAGTTGTTCAGATATGTCATTTCATGGGAGTTATGCATCGAGATCTTAAACCCGAGAACTTCTTGTTGTCCGGTAAAGATGAAGCTTCTTCTATGCTCAAGGCCACTGATTTCGGAGTCTCCGTTTTCATCGAGGAAGGTAAAAGAAAACGAAAAACGAAAAACGCAACGGGGTTTCTTGGTACGCAAGTAACCTGTCGGATTCATGCCTAATCCGGTTTAAATTGCAGGGAAGGTGCACGGAGACATTGTCGGGAGTGCATATTACGTTGCGCCGGAAGTTTTGAAGAGAAATTACGGGAAAGAGATCGATATTTGGAGCGCCGGAGTAATCCTGTTCATTCTTCTGTCTGGCATTCCCCCATTCTGGGCTGGTAAACTAAAACCGGAGTTCTTCCCAAACCAGTTTTGTTTCTCCAATTACCTTTTAACTATACAACCGGTTTTGCAGAGACCGATAAGGGAATTTTCGAAGAAATTCTACGAGGAGAAATCGATTTCGAGTCTGAACCATGGCCATCGATATCTGAAAGCGCCAAGGATTTGGTCAAAAATATGTTGAACAAAGATCCTAAGTACAGGTTCACTGCAGCTCAAATTCTTGGTAAGATCGATTTCTCGATTTTCGGTTATTGGTTTCGGTTAACATCTAAACTGCAAAGATAATACATTGTTTCGGTTTAGAGCATCCGTGGATAAAAGAAGGAGGAGATGCATCCGATAAGCCAATTGCTAGTGCGGTTTTGTTGCGAATGAAGCAACTCAGAGCCATGAACAAGCTCAAGAAGCTTGCATTGAAAGTGGGTATATATATATGCAAGGATATATCCGGTTTAGCATTAGATTGATTAAACCAGGTTCGACTAATTGGTATTCTTTGATTTGATCAAGGTTATTGCACAAAATATCAAGGAAGAAGAAATAAAGGGACTCAAGACGATGTTTGAAAACATGGATACCGATAAAAGCGGTACGATAACATACGAGGAATTGAAAATCGGGCTGGAAAAACTCGGTTCGAGGTTAACCGAAACCGAAGTCAAGCAGCTCATGGATGATGTGAGTAGGGGCCTGTTTTCAATTCTTGATTTTGGAATCGATACCTTGATTTTGATTTTCGGTTTGTTTCCGGTTTAGGCTGACACAGATGGAAACGGTACGATCGATTACATTGAATTCATCTCGGCAACGATGAACCGGTACAGATTGGAAAGAGAGGAGAATTTGTTCAAAGCGTTTCAACACTTTGATAAAGATAACAGCGGGTAATTAAAGTTCAAAACCGGTATGAACCGGACCAAAAACCAATTGGTTTAGTGGATTGTAACCAGATTGACCGGTTATAGAGATAACGGTTTTTGCAGATTCATTACAACAAACGAACTGGAGGTTGTCATGAAAGAGTATGATATGGGTGAAGAATCCACCATCAAGGAGATTTTATCAGAAGTTGATGCTGATAATGTAAGTAACATACATACATACATATATATATATATATACGATACGTACGTACAATTAAACACGATGTCTTACAAAAGCAGATTTATAATTTTTGCAAAATTACAGATGAGATACTTTTTATAAACATATTTTGACACAATATATATATATATA